CAGGTCGGTATATTCTATCCAAGTGTGTGTAGCTCCTAACCTAGGTTGACAGAGTCTGCACTTCTTCAAGAACTTGATGGCCTTGCAGCGCTCGAAAGCCAGATGACGCGTAATCTGGAAGCTTTGCGTTCACAGCGTGCAGAATTAGAATTCAGAAGAACTTGGCAAGGGCGACTGTGGACTATAATTGGGAGGGCTTTTGCAATCTACTGTGTATTCCGCATCATCAGCGTAGGTCATCTGATAATGTTGCCTTCGGATGCTAACAAATTGCTCAGTCTATCAGAAATGTCCTCTTCGGTCCGACTGCCGAAGCATACAACACATCTTCACCCGATATCATCACGTATTTACTCGCCAAATTTGTCGCGCTCTTCCCTAGCATTCCATTGAGCCCCGTGGCAGTTGCTTCTCTTTCACGAGAAATCAGCTTGCTTTTGGTCGGCTGTATTATTCTTATCAGTGTTCGTACAGTGTTACGACAGGTTGGCCATTTGATCAAGTCCTCAAGCCGGACTATTGGGGCTGCTTTCCTTCTCTTGTTCCTAGCGCAGTTGATGGTAGGCCCCTAAGTATTATGTTGAGGCGTGTCTAACGTTATATAGGGAACATATCTTCTATCTACTTTGATTCAGCTTCGTTCCGCTTTCCCGCCAAATAAACATCAAGCTCCTCCCGCAACCGACCATCCTGATACTATGCCGCCTAGATCAGAAAATGATCCTCAAGTCAACTTATTCTCTTCCCTCCCAGAATACCAGCTCTTTGGGCTCTTATTTGATGGGTCTTTCCTGGCGGCTGCAGCTGCAACGGCAGCAATGATTTGGGCTCACAGGCAGCTTAACAGGGCCGAGATATTCACATAGGCCGGCGAGGAATCTAGCGCATTATAGGCCAGCATCTATTAAATATATATGCTCCACCAGGTGCTATGCTAGTACTCTACAGCTCCTCCTTCAGTGTGGGATCTGCCTTCGTAGAAGAGGAAGTCTCCGCAGAAGCATTTCCACCATTAATACATAGTGCCGGGGTAGTACCTGTTACGTGGTACTCGCACTTTTCGGGTTCAGATACGGTCAACAACGCGTTTTCTGTGCCACAAACAAGATCAACCTATAGATTATAACTTAGTAAAATATTTAAATCTGATTCCCTATGCAACGTACCGTGATACTTCGCTCGGGACCGTTCCAGCATCTAGCTCCATGTTTATAGACTTGTCTAGAATAATATTCTGGTGTCCCAACAGGGGCGTTCGTATTCCAGGAAGCGAAACGACTGCCAGGATGTTAGGTTGAGAGGCAAACATTGCGGATATAGACGTACCCAAGACTGTGGTTGCCACCGCCCTTGTTACCCTTCTGGGTTGCTTGTCCAAATAGACAGACCTCATAGGTATACCTTTGTGGTATATGGGTTAAACAATCGATTACTCAGATGATCCACTCACTCTCCAGTATCTTTCGAGAGGCAAGTGCCATCAAGTTTCTTCCAGGCACCATCAACTCCGAACCAAGCGGGATCAGAGAGTTTGGAAAGGGCTTGCTCTTCTTCCGACAATTTCCTTTCTGCATTGCGAAGTTGGTTGGATGCGTTGTTATGTCTTTCACGAGCTTTAGCAGTCGCTGTGTGATACATTCAGTAAAAAGCTCGTACAAGCCTAGATATGATTCTGACCTT